TGCTCAGAACAGGAACCCTGACGCTCGTTAGGACCAGGCTACTGCTCGAGCGGCAACGTTATCCCTCAAGGGACGGTGATGTCCGAGCAGGATTCTAATTTCGATTTTGACTTTTTTTACTATTATTTTAACCCAAGTATTCTATTATTTGTTTTACCCATTATATTAGGACTTTACATTGTATGTTAATTCTCCTAGTATGTTATATTATAAATCTGTTATGTATTACATATGTTTGATAGGGGATCCAGATTAATAGAAAGAGACTCGCAGATGAAGAGTTAGGGAGAGAATATTGTAAGATTTCAGCCTAACATTTTGTAATTCCTTACTTTTGATATAGTGAATTCTCAACCTTTGTCCATAATTTTTCTCGTCTTCGATTTCTACCTAAATCGTGTGTTATTGTAATTGTTATTTTCATCTTGTCTATTATCCCATCTTTAATATTTATAATAATTAGCTCAATTTCTAGTAAGTAGTATCAAAGCTATCACCAATTCTCTAATAAAGTTTTCTGAAATACATACTAGGCCTTGAACTTATAGACTATCTTGAAGGAACAATCATTAAGAAACAGTCTTTGGCCTTTGTAATTAGTGATACAACTGTAACGTTGAATAATCAAGATATAAATGGTTAGAAAGTTTTAACAATTGACAAAATAATGTGTAATGTAAAAGTTTTTAGGATCAAAAGAAGACATTTTAAGATGTATTTTTTAAAAAGAATTTATAAACAATTATGCTATATATACATTCTTCTTTACACTTTTCATTATACTCTTTCACGTGACAATATTTACACTTGATTTTAAATTCATCCATCACATCACTGCACAGATTTTCTCTACTTAGTGGGGAATGTCAACTAAAAAAAAAAAGGTTGAACCTCAACCTTAAGGGCCCCCACCACCCCGTCCCTAAAGCTTTGTGAGTGAGGTAAATCGCGGAATGTGCCCCAACAGATCAGGGAATAAGAGCTGTATGTACACTGCGCCTACAAGAAGTTCAATTCCATGTTTCGGAAATCGAACCCCCACACTGTGACTGCCAGCAAGACATGAGATAACCTCACTTCTGTCCTTTACACCACTAGGCTATGCCCCAGAGGGCATGGGGAATGTCAACTATGTTGTAAGTGAAGATGTACATATAGCATTATTATTTCTGAAATATAGCTGCATTCTTTGCCAACTAAGGTTTTTCACATCATGAGTAGATCTGTTTCAAACCTAAAATGTGTTGTATGCATATTAAGTTAACGGCATGCAATTCAACATATTCAAAGAATGCAATAATAAATAAATAAACAAAAATAAAAAATTGTAGTACTTCTTTATGCCAACAAGACTTAAATATTATGTGCAGCACTAAGAACCGCGTGAAGAATCATTTTTGGTTGCATGAATAATTCTAAATGTACAAGGTTTTCTTAACAAAATTTTTACAAATGCTATTGCGGCAGCATCTGTGTTATTCATTTTTTATTTTTATTTTTATTTTTATTTTTATTTTCTTTGGTCATCTTTCAAGGTTTCAATCGAAAACTGTCAAGCACCCCCTACAGAATAATTCTAAATGTACAAGGTTTTCTTAACAAAATTTTTACAAATGCTATTGCGGCAGCATCTGTGTTATTCATTTTTTATTTTTATTTTTATTTTTATTTTTATTTTCTTTGGTCATCTTTCAAGGTTTCAATCGAAAACTGTCAAGCACCCCCTGCATAAATTCTGTGAACCAAATTTTGTAAGTGTAGCAAGGTTGTTGGTCACGTATCAAATATTATTCCCAACCATGTCTATGAATATAGTATATAATCAACTTCAAGAATAAGTTATATTTATCAATGTCATCGAAAATATAATTCACATTTGACTTTCATTTTTCAAAATTCATTTTTCTCAAACTAAATTTTCAAATACACATTTTTACAATAAAATATTTTGCATGTAAACCCAAATTTTCTTACTTTTTAACTGCACATTCTTCAAAAATTTATCATTTTAAAGCTCTTTTTTGATGAAATAATGAGTGTCAGACACGGGCAAAATATTCTTCTTGTAATGGGAATTTAAAATTAAAAAAAATAGTTCAAGTATTTTTTACATTACTCTATATATATATATATTTCATTTATATTTCCTGTTCCTAGAAATATGTAAAATGATATGTAGAAAATAAAGGTTCATTATTATGTCTTTCGATTTCTTGCACTATGCTTTTCCTAAATGGTACATTGTATTTATCCAAACTTAGACTTGCATCCAAAATTTAAGAGTTTCATCTGTGAATATGTCACGAATTCTGCACGAAACAATTTCATCAATAAAATTTTGAACCGTTTTAAATATTAACAAAGAGTGAGCATGTGAAATTCTTCTTTTTGAAATTCTATCACATAAATGTAAGCAACAACTATTCCAATTTTTGTTGCTTCAATAGATCAAATTTTAGTTCTTCTAATTTAGCTCTAAATATACGTGCCAATAAATCATATCTATTCATACTAACATCATTATGTTTTAGTTCTTTTTTTATTTCTAATGTAATTACATTCATAAATTTGTTGTCATGTCTCTACTGACACCAGTAAACGACGATAGTAAAATAATCATTTGACCAATTTCAATACCTTTATTTTCGTCATTTTCTACCCTATCAACGATCACTTAATAAAAGTAGAGTACGCATTTTATTTTAATTCTTTCTAAAATGTCTACTCGTTTCAATTTTAATATACATGTTGACTACATATGTAGTAAAAGCCTACCATCATGTAGTAAAATCGAATTTGTGACCTGAAATTTGTAACAAATAACATTCTCGAAAGAAACTTTGGGACATTCTCTTCCTTTTTGTTATAGAGAAATTAGTAAGCCAAAGATGAAGAAAATAATGCAACTTATATTTACAGAAAATCTTGCTATTATTTACTTTTATTTTCTTTTTCAATTAACTAATTCGAAAAAATTTATTTAGATCATTTCAGTTTTCTATGTTGTGGTTGGGACTAACTCTATCTCTGTTCAACTTTTCTATGCCCTGATTCCAATGTTAGGAAATGTGGTTGTTAAAGTTGATCATAACAATCAAAATAGTAATGTACTCTATGTGAAATACCAGAATGAAAGATATTGATATATCGTGAAGTATAATATCTGCAGACGAATCCTCATCAATTCAAATTGCTACAACTTGTGAAGCGCGTGGTGTATTATACACCATGTGGTCTAGACCAAGGTTGCATCTTAAGTGTCTTGTAGGTTTCTATGGTGTCAATATCCCTCTATGAGCGGAAAAAATTAGAGTAAGGACTTATCTTCAAGGTATTTATCAATTTTCGTAATATAGATTCACAACATTTATCAGATTTTTTTCAACTTATTTTAATTTCATTTTAGTATCACAAAAATTACAACTGTAGTTTATCTGCTGATTTTATGACGTTGAAGCTTGTCATCGAACTCGAACGTAGAGATAACTTTGTTGTTGTTGAATAAATCTTTATTGTACTTTACAATAAATTAAGTAAAAGCAAAAGTGTTAGTAGAAACTATGTCCATTTCCATATACTGCAAAGCATAATTAACTGAAGCCTAAAAAATTTGGCTGTTACGAGGATGACAAGTCAGATTAACGACGAGTTGGACGGTTTTAGTCAGTAGTGAAAAATAAAGGCTGGGGTCTAACTAGTTACTTAGACAATAAATTGGGGACTGATGGTGCAATTTTCCCTATAATGTAGCCGTTGCAAGTATCCAAGGTAATTCCTTTAGGTAAAAAAAGAAAAAAAAAAGTTGAACCCCACCTTGAAAGCACTCATCGTCCCGTCCATAAAGCATCCATCGTCCCGTCCCTAAAGTATCGTAAGGGAAGTAAATCGTAAAATATGTCCCAACAGATCAAGAAATAAGAGCTTGTCTGTACACTAGTGTTCATAAAGAGTCCAATACATATCTCAAGAATCGAAACATCTCACTGCGACTATCAACAAAATTGAAACTATCTCGTTCCTGTCATTTCTGATATGCCCAGGTGTCATCCAAGGTAATTTCTATAATTTGCCAACAGACGTCCGTCCCGCAGCACCCAAAACCCTACAGCAAAAGAATCCGATTTACATTTTCCGTCAAAATGTCGTCCCAACAAATTGCACCCCACAGAGAAAACGCTGAAATCTACAACGGCGAAGCCGTCTGAAAGCAAAAATCTGTCGAACTTCTCGAGAAGATTAACCTGCCGAAGGGCCTGCTTCCCTTAGACGACATCGTTGAGGTGGGTTACAATGAGACTACGGGATTCGTGTGACTGAAGCAGAAGAAGGGAAAGGTGCACCGATTTCGTGCAATCGGGCGCAGCGTATCGTATGATGGAGAAGTCACAGCTTCCGTTGAAGACCGGCGGATGATGCCGCTGACAGGTGTCAAGAGCAAGGATCACAGCTTCCGTTGAAGACCGGCGGATGATGCCGCTGACAGGTGTCAAGAGCAAGGAGCTCCTGATCTGGGTCACCATTTCTGATATTCGCATTGAGGACCCCAGTTCTGGGAAAATTGTGTTTGACACCCCTAACGGGATTTCTAGGTCGTTTCCAGTGTCTGCATTTGAGGAAGAAAAAGAGAAGAATTGAAAATTGTGAGTTAGTTTTGATTTAAAAAAAAAAAAAAAAAATTATGTTATGGAATTATTTCGGTGGTTTAGCACAAAATTTAGCAATAAAAAATTGATTTACGAGAATGGATTTTGTTTTCCAATTTTGAATATTTATCATTTGCTCAAGGTTTAAGCAATAGTTCAATGGCTGCAATTATGCCCTTGCCTTCAACAATTGTGTTAGTGCTATGAATGATTTGGTGGCAATTTATAATAAATGAATTGAATATATATGGGTTTCTTTTATCAAAGCAATGTCTTGCTCGGATATATTTGGAATCGGAAAAGAAAAGCAAATGTATAGGTAGTTTTGAAACTGTAACAAAAACCATACGCCAGATGGAAACACTTGTGAACTAGTTCTATTTGCTTTGGAATCAAAACCCTACTCAACTATCTGAAAACATAATTGATCCCAATGGAACTCAAGAACTGAGAATAACATAACTACCTCCTTTAATTTTCTTTCCTCAACATAATGTGTGATAAAAAGAAATTGTAATCGAATAGTAAACTGGGTTTCTGAAAATTCAAATCAATGGTAGATCACCGTCAACTTGAGACTACATTGGACCACGTGCAGTGAGAAACTCTTATTGTCCTACAATCATGCTATATGTACACTCTCCTTCACACCTTCGTTGACAATCTTCCAGAGGGATCCATCAAAGCCATTGATTTTGAATCCATCTATCACATCACCGCACAGATTTCTTCCACATAGGAGGGAATGTCAACAAAGGTGTAAAGCACTATATACATCTAGCATAATTCTATTGTCCTATGCATAATGTGTTCCCTGGTCAAAAACTTCACCCTTATTTCTAACTAGCAACTGCACCATTCTTTTAAAGCCCATTCATTGATTTGTTGTATAAACTCACCTTTGTTAAAATATTTCAATGTACTATTTGCTCGAAATGCCTATCTCTCTGCATGACTAGATTGTTGCCATAGATAATTTTTAGTTCGCATTGCATTCTATGCTGTCACTAGCTCGTCAATAGAAACAAATGATCCCCATCATGGATGACACTTATGTCATCAATTTCTGCATTCTCTGCATTTACAACTTTTGTGAAATTGTACTCTCCAAACTTTTGACCTGCAATTTCACAAGGTACGCAGGTAGGATCAGATAGATTGCTGTGAAAACTTAATGTCAATATTTCGTTAAGCTAAAAGAAGTGTATTAAAATCTAAGTCAAAGTCTAACAATTAATTTTAACCATGCATTTCATGGAACCCCCAACTTTTCAACCACACATTTCATCATTTTTTATCAAAATTTTACTGAAAATCTGATTTTTATCTAAATCATACAGGGGCAATATCTGTAAAGTAGTGTATTTAAAGTTTGAGATTTTTCCTTAATTATCATTTTTTTCGCAATAAATCTATAATTAACCGTAAAAATGATTTGTTTCGAATTTGTCTAGGGCTAAGGAGGCTTACCTGCTATTTCAAATAGCATTTCTAGTGAATCAGGTAGAATTATTAGCTTCCCAAACTGCTTTAGTGAAATTTGATCGTTTTGAGACTTCATGTAAATGGTGACTCTCTTCTTCGCTGATTGTAAAGCATCTTCACTGTTGGGATACCTAAAACTGCTTGAGCTGATATATGTTTGTTTCCGTTGATGATTGTTGGCATAAATATTGGCCCCATTTTCTGGATGCTGCCTAATCCTGGTTTTTTCACCCATTTCTGGCCCTAATAAGTTGATTTTGTGCTCATCTAAATTTCTTTTATTTTCGTAACCCCACATTGGGTCATAAATGCTTATAGTTTTATCAAGCCAATTATTGTGGATCAAAGTTGGATCGTGGTAGCCCTCGATGTCAATGCTACTCCATCTGGCGAGTTTCTGCAATTGAATTTAGTGGTTCAGTTTGAGTTTTTGCAAATGAGAGGATAGCAATATAAAGCTCCCTGAATTTACCAGGAAAAGATTGTTCATAATAGTGTGTTTATCTGCTGGATTTGCTTGAAGAATGTTCAGCAATGCTGTCCTGTTCAGTCGTAGTATTTGAGAAAGTTCGGTTGTTCGGACACCAAATGGCTGAGGCTTTCCATACAAAACCCCTATATCTCCAAACATTTCCCTTGCTTCAGCCTTTCTTAAGACCTGTGTGCGTGTAGAAGAATTATGTGATATTCCATGTTGTCCATTGTTCTTATTTATATGCAAATTTACATATATAGAGTGATGTAAATGTTGCTTACTTGATCATGCCCATCAATACTTGCAATTAGTTCCTGTGACAACCAAAATGTATTTTATTGGGTATGACAAAAGGCAAAAAGCAAGAATTTTTTAGGGATTCCATCATACTTCCTAGTTTGTATGAGGTATACTAGATTACTTACCACTTCTCCTGTGACAAGTATATATGAATCAGTTGGGGCCTCATTTTGCAAAATCACGTCTTCTTTAGGAGGGTAATACTCAGCTTCCAATTCCGGGACCTTTTCAAAGAATAAGAATACCAATTCGAACTTATATGTTGGTTCTCTATGAGAAGATGATGTGAGAGGAAGAAGAAAGAGAAAAATACCAGTTGGAAAAGGAAGTCTTGTGTAACACCTTGGAAGAGATCGACATTTTGAACAATGGGGTAAAATAGATGGTGAGCAATGTTGGAACGAATGGCCTTGGGCAGTCCATTAAGGGCCTCTTGCTGTTTGAATCCTTCTGTTTTGAATTTGAGACATATATACGACAGAAGTTGCTCGTGTATATGTGGTGGCAAATGGTTCCGTTTTGTGAAATCTGAAGCAGCTCTAATAGTATCTCTCTGCAGCACCAAACCAAAATCTTGTTCATTATACTCAACAGCATACCAAATATGTACTTGACAAACTTCTTGGTTGGGAGAGAGTGAAGAAGACAGAGGAGAGGGGAGGCTTACAAAGTTTCTGGTGTGGCTGGTCCAATGAACTACAAGGTTTGTCATGTTCCCAATGAGGTAAGATGTCAATCCCAGATTGAATAGCATGTAGAAGATATCAAACAGCATCTCTCTAGTGTTCTCAGCGTGCAAATCCCCATAACCTGTTGTGGTTAATGTCACTATAGACCAGTAAATTGCAGTTATATATCTGTCCCAAAGGCTCATTTCTTTGAAATTTGGATAAACAGCACCAATCCAAGTTCTTTTCGGATCTGGATATCTATCTGCTATCATGTAGTTAAAGCACCCAGCAAAATGTACTGCGAACAAAGTCACCTGAATTCAAAGGGAAAAGGCAGCAATTTATATGTGTATATTTACTAGCATTTGCATGAAGTAAAGCAGTTGCTTACAGAGATGAGCTTTGCGCAGCGAGTCCAGAAATAGTTGAATCGGATGTCCTTTTCAAGTCTTTAATTAAAAAAAAAAAAATGATGTTGGTTACCAAGAGTTATTTGTAGGATACCACTCTCTAAACAGGACAGCATGAAAGATTTTAATACCGTGCAAACAGGGAGCTGACTCTTCTGAGACGCCAAAGTCGAAGCATACTGAGAAATTGAAAGCATAATCCATCGCTGTGATCTGTGAAAAGGAGGCTGATGGATTGAAATGGTATTGTTGAGCAGACATCAAAGACGAACCAGGTGGATAGATACCTGTTAGTCAGATATAACATTGGGAAAAAAATTTACTGTTTAGATATATTTTACAGATATCTCGACCCTATAACCAGTAGTTACGGTACGGCTGTAATTACCTTATGGCTATTTTTTGACGATTATCAACTAGAAGATATGATTGGCTATCAAGATATGCCACAAAGAAGGTGAGAAGAATATCGATGGCGAAGAAGCTGTTGACAATGTTGTCTATGATGAACAGGGCATCTTTCTTGTAACGCAAAAATGCAAACTCGAATGGAGAAATCCAGGCTGAATAAATGACCAAGAGAACAAGAAACATCTCCCAGGCCCTGAAATGAACAACAGAAAATGAGAAATAGTGGCCTCTTAATTTGTATCCTCTAGCTTATTACAGAGTAGAGGCAAGTTATTCACCTATAACGCGGGTTGAATGGGGAAATTATGTATTTTCTGAGTTCTGTTGTCTGGTTAATTTGAGCTCCAAGTGATGGCAGGAGATCGCTAGAGAAGAAACCACTTTGGGTTTCATTACTTGTATGAAAGTCCTCCACACAGAACCGTTTTATGAAATTTTTTGAAGATGAAAACGGCATTTTTGGTTTTGAATGAATGAAATGAATGCTTCAAAGCTCGACAATATAGTCTGTTCAACTTTGTGAATGGCAAGCCTTTGTTGGGAGTTCATATATAGCAAAGCCGTGGTAAATGACACGGGTAAAACAATCTTTTTGCACTGTTTTCTTTTCAAGACACCCTGGTAATATTTCTTTGTCCTGATTGAACAGTTTATATAAACGGGGGTCTACTGGCTTGAGATGGAAGTTGAAGTGGCAGATATGAGTTATATTTGTGTCTAATGTAGTTGCAGGGACGAAATTGGGGAGAAGGAAAGAAAGGATGAGAGGCAAATGAAATGTAGGATGGTCCAGTGGTCCAATTGTTGATGTTCCATCATCAGTAAATGTTGGATATTGATTTCGTTTATGATTTGTATTATACGGTAGATTATACGGATTAAAGAGAATAAAAAAAGAGTTAAATTTCGTTGTTGTTCAAAACGAAAAGATTTTGGAATCTATTCTGATGATTGATCGAGGTTATTTCCTCACATGGAGAATATCAAGAAAAGAGATCGAAGGAAACGGAAGGTCCTAATTCCGTGACAGAACAGATGTATGACGCGGGAGTATATATTCTTTACTCGGGATCTAAACATAAATTGGTGTTTTCATTTCAAGATCAAGAAAAGGACTAACAGCCATAGTGAGGGTTGGCCATGAATGGATGCCGTGTGGACCAATGGTGACCTCTTATTTTGGAAGTCACAATGGAAACCTTTCCTTTCGATGAGCAGTGTCACAGAATCATAGACCTAAAGTTATCCAGTTAAAAGGTAGAGATAAAAGAAAATGTTTATTTATATTTGCATTCATAACAGTCTTGGTTGGGGGGCATCTAAGATTTTTATTGGATTTGAGTAAATTTGGGTGTCGGGTGGTTCGGTTCAAGTATTTTAATACTTGGAACCATACATTACACTTCGAGTATTTCATAAATAGTTCCATTATGGTCCATTAGTTAGGTACAGGTTCGATTCTATCCACAACATATTCTTAAAACTATGAGTTGACAATATAAATTATCTTCCAAAATTTAGCAAAGACAGAAAATATAAAATACGCCGTCTAATAACATTAAATATCTAGTAGAGGATAAACAAACACCAAATTACATACTCAAAGAACAAAATAAAAGAAGAAATCAATAATAAGGAAGTTCTAAATTTTAAAAATATTAAAAATAACATAAATTCATTCATATGAAAACAGCATAATAATCAATATTGTCGCCCCTCGGGGGATAGCCTAATGGTGCAAAGGACGGGAGTGAGGTTATCTCACGTCTTGCTGGTAGTCGCAGTGTGAGAATTCGATTCATGAAACATGGAATTGGACTACTTGTAGGCGGTGTACAGGCAGCTCTGGTTCCTTAGCCTGCTGGAACACATTCTGCGATTTACCTCCCTCACAAAGTTCTAGAGGCGAGGAGATGGAATCCCTCAAAATTGGGGTTCAACCTTTTTTCTTTTTTTTTTTTATAGTCAATTTGTCAACTTTTATTTACGTCACATCGTTTCTTTCAACCTCATTGGGTCATTGAATTAGTGTGAATAAATTGTAAAAATAAAAACTTATAAGATGACAAATTCAATTTTAGAATCAGGTACCCATGATTCCTAATTCTTTTCCTAAATCGGCTCGAAACCTCAAGTTTCGATTCAATTCAAATTCAAAAGGTTCAATTTTGATTAAAATATTCACCCACTTAAGAGGATTCTTGGTTGTTCATAAGTTAGATTTGTGCCCAGCGTTCATGGTCTTGAAATTTCCTGGAAACTACATCAAAAATGCTGGCAAAGGTTGGAAAGAAAGTTATAAGACCTAAACGTAGATGAAGGTCCATATGAATAATTTTATAAATATTTTATTTATTAAATCAAGTTATGGGCATCTGGGCATGTCTTTTGCTTACTCAAAATCTGGTACTGCCGAACGTGGACATGTCCTGAGGTTTTCAATTCGAATAATTGTCCTAAATCCACCATAAATTAACATCTTCAAGTTTGACTTAAGTAATCATCTTCGAATTTGACTCTATAATTTTGATTTTTCATAATTCGAGTTCTTCAAGTCAGGAATAAATGAGAAAGTTATTTGTACGTATAATATTATTACGAAATTGAAATTTAAAATCTTCGTGTGCTCTAAATAAGTGGTATAAGCAAAAGTACATCCTACTCGATTTCTTAAGAAGTTTCTAGGGACATTGAATTCAGACCAGATTCGTTTTAGGCTTTCTCTGTTTGGTATTGATTTACATCGAATTTTAATTTAAGTTAAAGTCAAACAATTAATATCAACCATATATTTCATAGGTTCCACAATTTTTTAATCACATATTTCAAAAATTTTTATCAAAATTTATTAAAAAATTAATTTTAATCCCTATAAATTGATTCTGCTTGTAGGGCCTACTCATGATTCCCGTGGAACATCCTATGCTTTCGGAAATAGTCAAATCAACATGGACGATATGGACCACTCTCTATAATAATATAATGTATAAAATTAAATTAAAGTGGTGGGTTAGCTTAGCTCTCATGCAACAAGCAACAACCACACAGGAAAAGGGGTATATTATATCATGAAAAGTGTGACCAAAAAGCCTTTATTTATAATTTGTCCACTTGTCCTCGATTATTCAAGAAAAATCGAGTGAGTCAATTTTATTTTAAATTGAAATAAGAGCCAAGAAATCCATCCCTAATGAAACCCGCTGTGCTAGAATGGAACTTCACAGAAGTCTTATAGAACACACAAGGGAGGGAGGGAAGTCGACATTTTTTTTTGCAATTTTTTATCATCCATCAGGTTCCATGTGGAGCCGACTTTGTGTGTCTGTTCTGGAATCCCTCCTCTATGCAAATGACATTGGCCATTTCTAATTGAAAAAATTCTATAAAAGTGAATCTACCCTAAAAGCTAAGTCAAACTAATTTACGTTTGGTTAAGCCTATAAAAGAAATAAATTTTTTAATGTGTTAAGAGAAGTCAAATATGTTTGAGTAGGGACAGAGCCAAAAAAATTATTTTTACGTGAGCTTAAGCTCCTATTTGGCCTCCATTACATCTCATTAAATTAAATTAAATTTTTCTCTATCATATTTTTAACCACACAATTTTCAATAAAATAATATTACACGTAAATCAAAAACTTTTCATTCTTTTACAACTATTTATTTTTCAAAAAAATAAAAAATACTATTCATTGATTATAATCAAAATTAATAGGGGCTAAATTATAATACAAAATTTAATATAATTTTTTTTCAATGACTGGAGCATAGTGGAGCTCCTACCATCAAGAATGGGACCAAGAAAGCTAGCCCTGGTTCCATCTTCATTGGCCAAGTAACTAGACAAAGAATAAAAGAACGGATCTAGGGACAAGACTCAAAGCTGTCTCTAGAGCTAGAGTAGCTCCTTCTTAGCCCCCGTCTGTTTCTTATTTTTGGAAGAATGAAAATAAAAAATATAGTCATTACGAACCTCATACAAAAGATAGAAATTCAAATTTTGTGGTTTGGTGTGATAGATAACGGTCATATTTTACATTTTAATGAGGAATAAATAGGAACCAAACAGGGGCTTAATGTCTAAATCTTAATCAAAATACTGTGCTCTACTCAAGGAGCTACTAATGAAAATAGAGTTGACTTCCTTCCACATGTTTGCGGAAAAAAAATTACTTAAAAGTAACTTTTCAAAATATTAATTTGTTGACTAGACTTATTGATATCATCTTCAATGCAACTGTGCTACATCATCCACTAACGTAGTTCCACAAAGTCCCTAGTTGGGCTCAATAATCTAAAATTACATTTTTCTATCTCATCTCTTCAATTATACATTCTTCATAACATTACTATTCAAAGATGTATTTTTTCCCAATATATTTTTAATGGAGCCGAAACAAGGGCAAAATAAGTAACACCTTTAATTTCTTAAAATTTTTCTCAGCATAAATATTTTTCTAGGACAGGTTCGATGATGATGATTTTAGTTCTTTGAATCGAAATTTTTTTTTGCTCTTGTTCTTGTCGTAGTTTGATTCTAATTCTACAATTGAGAATGAGAATTAGAGCCAAACTTAATTTTTAATTTTATATTTTTATACATATTAATTGGTGGAGACTCAAATTTTGTAAACATTTGAGACAACTATTTAATTGAAGACTACCCATTAATTGATTCTGGATTATTGGGGACGGTCATTAATTATGTACACTCTAATTTTGTATTCATATGAATTATTTCTCTTTCACTCATTTTCAATTTACACAATGTTGGGACACGTTGGCACAAAATTTCATCACGTCAATGGAGGATATTCTTTCAAGATCGAAAAATGGAATTAATAAGTCTCTTCAAAATCCTTTAAACTATTTTTTCACCTTGATTGTTTGATGAATTATTTGTGTTATTCACAAATTGAGAAAAACTCAATAAACATTCATTGAATATTAAACAATTAATGGTTCTCTGTAAAAAAAAATTCATAATTTGTCATTTATTGTAGGGTGTGCCGTCAAAAGTGTTACAATTAATTTAGTGAATCGGTGTATTATTTATTAGACAATCTTTTGTATGGGAATGAAAATTAATTTATGTATTCAAATTATTACTATATTTTATTTTTTGTTATGATTGATAATTTGAAATTTCCAAACATTGATATTTTTTATTTAGGTATATACTATTAACATATGAATACGATACAAATATGAAATTTTAAGAAATAAAACTAGAATCAAATCAAGCCAAACCAAAATCGAATGGTATATTCCATTATCCCAAAAACATTGTTTTATGATTCAGTTCGATTATCTTAAAATCATAACCAAATGAAATCATATCCACTCTGACTTAACCCTCTTCTAATTCCTGCATTTGCCAAAAAAATTTGGTCAATTGTATTGGTGGTTGTAGGGGTGGACCCACGTGGGGTCATGTGAGGTCAAGTGGTCCTACAAATTTTTTTTTATTTTTTTTTTCTCAAAATTCTGTAGTGTAGTGTATTTGCAATTTGGGAAAGAGGGAAAAAAAATTAATTATTATAATAAAGTAGAAGCTGAAAATTCTAATTGAATAGCTGAATTATTCTGACTGATTTTTGAGTTATAAAAAAGCTCTGTTGCAAGTTCGCCTATGTTAGGCAAGAAGATATTTTATTTTCACAATTGGCCATTTGAGAAACACTTTCTGGGCTGGACATGATTCAATTCGGTTCGATTCTAACGAGAACTGAATCTACTCAAATTTTTCGGTTATTTAGTAAATTGAACAGTCGGATCCAAATTTAATTATGGAACCATTCAGATTCAGTTCAATTCAGTTAGGTTCCCAGATTCCGTATTATAAT